AACAGAAGAAGTAATAAAACTCTGATTTTAACACAAGGATTTAATTTGATGAATGATAATTAGTAACCAGGGAGGGTTAGGCAGGTGAGTGAAATTAACAATTAGCTCAGCTATCAGGGCCGCGATCATGACATAGCAATGTGTTAAATGAAAAGCATCTCTGCTTCTCTCATTGGTTAATTAGGGAATACATTTGATTTTTCTATCTTTCATCCAATGCTGAAGTATCTGTTCTGTGAGGCAAAAGGTTGGGATTATTTCTGAGGTGTAATCTGTTCTACTTCTAACCTAATCTCTCCCCCTCTGATGCTTACTCCTTTCTTCTCCATTTCTCCTGGCGGGAGCAGCAAGGGCTAGAAGTGAGTGGCTCCGTCAGACTGCATGCTGCATGAGATGTCTGTAAACTATTACTGAGAAGGAACACCATCCATACATTCGTAACGTTGCATCGTTCATTCGTCGCCTTTTTTTTTTTTTGCATCTTCATCCCAGATGAAGCACGGACGAACCGTTAAAGATCAGCTCTGAGTTCAACTTTTCTGCAGCTGCTCTCCAGAGCAGCGAGAAAACACCCAGACTGCAGAGCCTGCGCTATAATTGGGAGGAGAGGCTGCTGCTCTATATTTAGCTGAGATGCTGCAATGTCTGGATGCTCCCACTTTTCCAGCGCTTTCCCTTCATATGGCATGAGCTGATGACTAATGTCTTTTCTCTGTGTTTGCCTGAAAATAATCTGATTTTAAAGTAAAAACCGCATAGAGAGAAAAAAAGACGACTGATCCACTTTGAAGCTTACTGTGTTGGGAAGTAGGTTACCAGATGTAGGTCAGGTTTGTTTAATGAGAAGCTGCTCCGGCAGATAGAGGGGAAAACAGTTTCATGGGTTTTTACTTCCCAGCCTTCAGCAGAAGGCCGCTGAACCTGCAGGCTAACGAACCCGCTGATACCAAGCTGTGTGTGGATGTTTAAGGATAGCAGAGCATTCCTGAGGACGAGGGTGGCACCCGACACCCACACCGTGCTAGGCAACCAGCATTCTTCAGACCAGTGGGAGTACTTTTTAATCTTGTGAAAGAGCGCAGCTCGCCTCAGAGGTAGAAAATAACCCAATGTAGCCTTTAATCAGCTCCATGGCAGGAAATCTGAGCGCTGGAGTATCTCCACTCAACTCCCCGCGTTCCACGGCGCAGGCCAGCTTGTGACCAGCTCTGTGTGCCATGTCAGATTAAGATGCTGTCGGAGAGGAAGATGGAGCTGGAGCGCCGGGTGCACGCCATGATGGAGGAGAACGAGCTGCTGCAGAACACGGTGGACGACCTCCGGGAGAGGACGCTGCTGCTGGAGAAGCAGTGCCACGAGAAGGACCTTCAGGTAGAGACGCTTCCTCCCACTCTCAGAAAACAGGGATTCTGACCTGATGAGCTTTCATTACAAACTTGTGTCTCTTTAGAAGTGTTTTTTTCTGGTTTATCTTTTCAACTGAGATCTCCAGCAGGTTTAAGAGTCAGTCGGTTTTTGGACATGAATCAACCATCTGGTTGATCCTGTTCTCAGGACGCCATGACACAGACAGGCTTTTCTAATCTGGAAATTCAATT